AGTGAGGTCTGTATCAAAACAAGGTCACCTCCAGCCTCGCTGCCATTCAAAGGCCAGGTCACTGAGCAGACAACTGTAAAATGGTCTATTGGACATAATCCATTGGATTGTGATCGATTGAGTTTGGCTGTTGAACCCAATCGAACACAATCTAATGGATTTAGTTCTGTTCGGTTCGACTTGGTCGATTGAGTTACATTGGTTCGGAAATGATCTACGAACGTTCGACTATGCCGGGAATATCAGAAACATCTCCCTTTTGTTTCGAGGAATGTCACACCTAGCGCTTCGTTATACAAACATTTTTTCACTCGACCGAGTATTCTCCAATCTAGGCCGAAAAGAATTTCATACATAAGCTTAAATGCCGAAGAACAAAGACACCAAGATAAATACTCACGTCCATCGACATCCAAGAATTGAGTAGGAAGCTCCATGTTCTCGGTAAGGATTTCTGAAGTTGTGACTTCGGTGACGCCTTCGGTATAATCTTGGGCCCGGCAATCAACTGTATATTTGTGATGAGAAATCAAAAAAATAAGCTTGATACTATATGTAGCGGCTAATTCAAAACAAATCTTGCCATTTCTCACTTACGTTTCTCATTGGTCGAAGGCTCGGCAAAGTCATAGTCTTGAGCATTAATCGGTGGGCAATTCAACGCGGGAGATTCTGCAGGTTTTGCCGCGTGGGTCTTTCTTTTCTTTGGATTAGAGCTGTCGACGACTGCTTCCAGTTCTACATCCACATAATTGCCATCACCTAATATGTTAGTATCTTTAACTCTTAGATCACCCAGCTTCTTTTTCAGGGAGCTCGTTCTTTCTTCTACCTCTATTCCATGTAGCGTTTCTCGNATAATTGCCATCACCTAATATGTTAGTATCTTTAACTCTTAGATCACCCAGCTTCTTTTTCAGTGGGCTCGGTTTTTCGTCCAACTCTATTCCGTGTAGCGTTCCACGTTTGGAAGACATGGTTTAATCAACGGTTTGATCATTATTTTCTTTACAGACAGCGGTTTGTCAGCGGCTGGCGGGTGCATTATTAACAAAGTGAACAAAGCGAACAAAGCGCCCTTATGAGATTTGCGCCAATCGTAAAAAGCGCGCGTTTCTCTGAGATATCCCCGGTTTGCGCGGGCGGAATTACATTATTCCATGTTTTATGCGCTCACGTTCAACTTGTGGAACATCCGTACACGCTTTTTTTTTGCAACCTTCGCCAGTAATTTTTTAAATATCGTTGGAATCTTTGACGCTTTGAGTGTCGAGGTAAGGAACTTTTCAAGTGTGTTACCGTGCGTGTAAAAGTGGAAGCAATGTTTTTTATATTATTTGTTGGAATGACTCTAGCTGTGCCTGACGAAAGCCTGACGACAAAATCACAGCGGAAAATTCTAATTGTCTACTCTCTTTCTCTCCACTGACAGATGACCTTTGCTGTTGTGATTTGGACAGGTACAGGGACAACTCCTCTGCCAATAGAGGAGATTGAAATACTTAATATTCAAAAGTTGGTAATCGATGGCAGCGCAGCTCCTGGCTCGAAGTGTTCGATGCAATATCAACAAAAAATGTGGCACGGGAAGATAATTTCCCTGCACGGTGAGTCTCTGGCATGCCAGAAAATCATATTATATAACAAGCCACTTACAATGAAAGATAGTTTGTAGTAATCGAAACAGGATCGACAAATAATTTCTATCTGACACACAACTATGGTATACTGGCCGTGGCCTGGTATGTTGCAAGACCTTGCCGAAATAAAGAACCGCGAAAATAGTTTTTGATCGTGGAACCTATGTCATTTCCCGCCATTGCCTATTGGCAACCAATCTGCCTTTCCATTACAACGTATAATCGAATAATTTCGAAGCTGAAATACCATTTGCATTCCGTACGAAAGTCGGGCTGCAAATTATATTTTT